ATATATTTATATTCTCTTATTTTCTCCTTGTTTATTCGTAGGAGGACACACTATTGGAATGTCACATTGTTTTTCCTTCTCAAGTCGTATGTACAATTTCACTGGCAAAGGTGATACAGACCCAAAGATGGATCAGAACTACATAGGTCGTTTGAAGATCAAATGCAAGCCAGGAGATGTGACCACCATCGTCGAAATGGACCCTGGAAGTTTTAAGAGTTTCGACACTGACTATTACACCATGGTTAGCAAAAGAAGAGGGTTGTTCGCATCTGATGCAGCCCTTCTTACTGATAGTCAAACAAAAGCTTATGTCTTGTCCCAGCTAAATCCCTATGCATCCACTTTCTTCAAGGATTTTGGAGAATCAATGATAAAGATGGGCAAAATTGGCGTCCTTACTGGGAAAGCAGGCGAAATCAGAAAACACTGCGCCTTTAGAAACTAAAGGAATTTTTATAAGCTATTTCCCTTGCAAAATTCTAGTCATTTCGTACTGTTATCCTTAACGGAGTTTCTGTTGTGAGTACTCATTTTTCTATTTTGAATAGCTCATATGTAAGGTGTATCTTTTTGGTGGTAAACTTATTGTGTTGTAAGTTTGTAATTCAGTTCATTAAGCATGAAGCTAATAAAAATGTTGCTTTAATTTGCTTTTACTAGCATGCGTGATTAGAATTCCCATTTTGTTTTACTGTTAAGCTATTAGGACGATGAGCTTTATCACAAATTAAAATTTATTCATAACATTCCTAGTAAGATGTTTTCACATAAGTATAAAATAGAAGAGACCGCGTGTAGATTGTATGACACAAATGTTTAACCAAAAATTTGAATTTCGGTCAAAGCTTGTTTTAAGAAGAACTCGGGTTACTGATAATGAAGTAGAAATAGAAATAACTGGTGTAAATAATAGCTGAATGGAAAGCAAAGTAAATCAGTATATTCCAATAGTATTTTGTGCCCTTACAAATGTCCATTCCTCACTTTTATAGTTATTTCTAAGTAATACGTTTTTCTCCTTTCATAATGGTGTCATTATGGACAAT